CGCGTCTTCTGCGACCCCACCTGGGAGGCCTAGGCACGGGCGGCTCTCCCGCCCGGCCCAGGCCCGAGCAGAATCGGCCCCCGCAGAACCCTCGCTGCCGTCGCTCGGGCGCCCCTTTCCCCGTGCATTTTCGGCTCCGCGGGTGCATCTTTGCCCCAAGATGATCCAGGATTCTCCTCGATGGCCTTCGCCGAAGACAAAAAGAAATCGCACGTCCGAGCGATGCCCGGCCTCCTGGATGATCCGAGATCCTCCGGGATGATCCGCAAATCCTCCTGGATGATCCAAGATCCTCCTCGATGGTCTTCGCCGAAGACAGAAAGAAATCGCACGTCCGAGCGAGGCCCGGGCCTCCCGGGGGCTCCACCACAAGAACAGCCCGCCCCGCTCTTCGGGGCGGGCCCGGCCGTGGCGAAGGGAAGCCCCACAGGAGGCCCAGGCAGGACGAACACACGCCAGGGTCAGGTCGGGCCCTCCTGCAGGCGGCTCTTGGAGGAAAAAGGAGGAAAGCATCAAAGAGGAACAGCAAGTAATAAAGAGGAAAAGTAGTAAAGAGGAAAGCTATTCTCAACAATAGCGGAGCAAGAGCCCCTAATTGTTTACTGTTCTCGAATGTTCCTCCTGTGGAGGACATGCCCGACTTGGGACGGCCGCCCCCGCTGCGTGCCCGACGGCCTTGGGGGTCTCCGGCAGTCTCCTGAAGACCTTCGGTGGCCTCCGGTGGGACGCACAGAGACGGACCAGTACTATCTGTCCTCCTTGGGGGCGCGCGTCCGTTCCGAACGTATATCGGGTCGGGCGAAAGGGGGGGATAGCAAAGGGGGGGGTTGAGAATCAGCTCACGTAGCTGATTTTCCCGGCGCCCCCCGGCGCCGGAGGCGGCTATGTATCGAGGAATGGGCTCCTCCGTGAGGCCGAAACCAGCTGCATGCAGCAAATTTCGTACCCCCCCCTTTCCCAATCCCCCCCTTTTGCCCGACCCGGGTATATATATATATATATATATATATACACCCATCTTGTAATATATATATATATACACCCGAGTATATATATATATATATACCCATCTTGTAATAGATCGCTTCCCGACCCGTGTGGCCAGACAGCGCCCGCCACGACGCACGTGCTATGAGAGTTCTCGGTGCGCGCCGTCGCCCCCCGGGTGGGCGACGCACGCCTCGTAGCAAAGGAGGAGGAGGAGGAGGAGGAGAAAGAGGAGGAGGAGGAGGAGGAGGAGGAGGAGGAGGAGGAGGAGGAGGAGGAGAGTAGGAGGAAGAGGAGGAGGAGGAGGAGGAGGAGGAGGAGGAGGAGGCCGGGGTGACGCCGAGAGCCCCCGCGGCTTTCGCTCGGCCGTGGGCCCCCCCGCTCTCCCAGTCGGCCTCTTGGGCGGCCCTCCGGCAGCCTCCGGAAGACCTTTCTTTTGGTGGTCCTCGGTGGCCCTTGGGCGGTCTTCGGCGCGAAGCCTGGACGGCTGCGCCCAGCCCTTGGCTTGGACGCCCGAGTTATCCGGGGTAACTCGGGTCCGGGATAACTCGGGTTTGGATTCCCGAAAAAGGAACCTGAGTTAGCCCTGACCCGAGTTATCCCTGATGATTCGGGGCTCTGGGCGCCCGAGTTATCCGGGGTAACTCGGGTCCGGGGTAACTCGGGTTTGGATTCCCGGAAAAAAAACCCGAGTTATCCCTGACCCGAGTTACCCCTGATGATTCGGGGCTCTAATTGGCGGTGAGCGCGGGAGGGAAGCGAGGAGGGGCGAGAGCGCGCTACCCCGCCGACACAGGGCCCCGCGGCTTCCCGGGTGCACGCCCTCTCGGAAGGGGGCGGGCCTCCTCCGAGGGCGATCGGAGGTCCCACGGCCTTCCGAGGAGTGCTCCACGCCTGCCCCGGAGGCGCAGGACAGGAGACTTCTCAGAAGGCGCGGGGGCTTCTGAGAAGTCCCGCCGCCTTGTCAGGAGGGCCTTCTCCTTCTCACTTCCCCCCTCGCTCACCGCCGAAACACGGGGTCCATGATCGAACACCCAGCACCCGAAGCCCCCACCCAGTAGATGGCGCGGGCGGGTGAGCCCTTCTCCGACGGCTTTCGGGCGATACCGCAGGCCTCAGTGTGGCCGTCCGGGGCGATCCTGGCATCCCTGGAACGCCTGTGGCGAGGCGCAGCTGATGGGAACCATCGCGTGTCCCGAAGACCTCAGAAAGTCAACAGAAGACCATTCCTCCAGTCCCTTCCTCTGATCCGCCCGCTCAAAATCGGTCACTGGAAAGCCCTCCAAGAGTCCATCCTGACCCGTTTTCCGAGGCGGGTCCAGCCGTGTCGACGAGAACCGCAATAGGAGGCCGGAGCCAGGACGGCCATTGTCTCGACTGGCCTTCCTCTCTGGTCGGGCCAAAATCAAGGAAGATAACAAAGGGGGTTAGCGAATCAGCTCAAGCAACTGGTTTCTCTGGCCTTTCCCGGCACCAGAGGTGCCCATGTATAGACAAACGCACTTGGCACTCGTGCACGGAGACGAAGACAGCTGCATGCAACAGATTTCGTACCCCACCCCGCTTCCCCAATCCTTCCCCTTAAGACGAATCCAGGACCGGGACAAACTCGGACCAGGACAGACCGGGGATCTCTGAGATCTGGCGGTTCTGGAGAATGCCTCGTGCGCCGTGGCCGTTCCAAAGCGCTCCTGAGCGCTCGGGACGCGTCCCAGGAAGCCTTGTGGATAATGACTCATCCTGGTCCTGGCCCAGCCCGGCCCCCTCTCCTCCGGTCCTTCCTCCGACCCACCCACATAGGGAACCCACAGTGGACGTACGTACGCGCCCAGCCATGTACATGAACGCGGCCCCTTGACCCACGAGACCGGCCGCGTGATACGAATACTCGCGCAATGCGAAGTCTTGAAACCAGCGTGGATCCATGTACGTGTACGTCCTTCTTTCGCTCTTGACCACACGAGGGGGGACGGTGAGGGGAGGAAAGGCTCTGGGAGAAAGCTCAGCACGGACTCGGCGCTACGTCGCCGAGGAAGCGGCGAGGAGCCCCCGAGAGCGACGCCGCACGCTCATGGGCGGGGTGGGCTTTCGAGCCGCTGTCGGCGATGGCTGGGCGATCGGGGGTCGCTGCGTCCGGCCCCCGTGAGCCCATTCCCCCCCCCCCCTTCTCGCTGCTCCTGAGGCCCCTCCCCTCAGATCTGACACTGCAGACAAAAATGGTGCATCCCAAGCAACCGCCACCGGAGCCCCAAGCCCCATGCTTCTGCGCCCTTTTTTTCGAACCGGATCGATCTGTGAGGGCCCCCGGCCCCCAGGCCCGAAACGGGGCTGTAAAACGCTTGTTGTGAAATTATCCTGGCGGAGGACCCAACCAAAACCTGCTTCTAATCTCGCGTGGCAAGTGAGGAGGAGGAGGAGGAGGAGGAGGAGGAGGAGGAGGAGGAGAGGCCAGGAAAAGGACTGCGACGTTGACCAGGAGAGGAAAACCGTTGGGCTCGCGGAGGGATATACTGTTTGGCGCCAGCCCCGTGCGCCGCCATTCCATGCCCAATTCCTTTCTCCTTCACTCCTCTCCTTGTTTTTAGTGTGCGGCGTTGCGTTCCTGCCCGCCTGGCCCGCAATGGCCCGGGCCTCGCCGCTGTGTATCCATTTCGTTTTCTCGTGCTTCTCTCCTCTTGGTCCTTGCGCCCCTGTGACCGCGGCTCTGGGCAACGCGCGCTGCGGGGTCCCCGCGACGCGCGCTGGTCGCCCCGAAGGAATCCCGGCGACGCGCGCGGCCTGTCCGCGGCACGGGGTAAAACAAAAAAACAAAAAACAAAAAACACGGGTGGCTGACAGCGGGCACGGCGCTGGGCAGAGCGCAGGGGAGTCCCCGCGAGCCAATGGGGCCACGGATGCGCGTGGAGGGCGTGCTTCGGTGGAGCTCCTTACGGGGCCACGAAGTGTGTGAGGAAGGTGCCGAAATGAGCATTCGGTGGGCGGGGATCAGCATGCGAACCCTGCCACTGGGGCGCTCGGTAGAGCTCCATTGGGCCGCGAAGCGTGCGAGGAGTGTTCCGAAACGAACATGCGGTGGGCGGGGATCCGAATGCGAACCCTGCCACTGGGGTCTTCGGTGGAACTCCCTACGAGGACTTGAACCGTGTGAGGGATGTGCCGACATTGACACGCGGTGGGCGGGGAGCCGCATGCGAACCTTGCCACTGGGGCCTTCGGTGGAGCTCCCTATGGGGCCACAGAACTTGTGAGGGGTGTGCCGATTTGGATAATTATGCGGTGGGCAGGGAGCCGCATGCGATCCTTGCCACTGGGGCCTTCGTTGGAGCTCCCTATGGGGCCGAGAAACGTGTCAGGGGAGTGTCGACATGGATATGCGGTGGGCGAGGAGCCGCATGCGAACCTTGCCACTGGGGCCTTCGGTGGAGCTTCCGATGAAGCCATACACCGTGTGAAGGTGCCGACATGAACATGCGGTGGGCGGATCGCCGCAGGTGAACCCTGCCACTGGCGCCTTCGGTGGAGCTCCCTATGGGGCCGCAAACTGTGTGATGGGTGTGCCGACGCGGACATGCGCCGGGAGGGGAATCGCGTGCGAACCCTGCCACTAGGGCCTTCGGTGGAGCTCCCTACGGGGCCACGAAGCGTGTGCGTGCGGGGCGTACCGAACTGCTAGACTGATGAACGCGGGGCGCTGTCGGTTCAAAACGAGAACCCAACACCACAGGGTTGTCGTCGTCGTCGTCGTCGTCATCGTCATCCTCGTCGTCGTCGTCGTCGTCGTCCTCATCCTCGTCGTCGTCGTCGTCCTCATCCTCGTCGTCGCCCTCGTCGTCGTCGTCGTCGTCATCCTCATCCTCGTCGTCGTCGTCCTCGTCGTCGTCGTCGTCGTCCTCGTCGTCGTCATCCTCGTCGTCGCCCTCCTCGTCGTCGTCGTCGTCGTCGTCGTCGTCGTCGTCGTCGTCGTCGCCCTCCTCATCGTCGTCGTCGTCGGAGACAGCGCGGGCGGGCGCCGCCCTCGGCGGTCCCGGTCCCGCTCGCGCTCGCCGCCGCCGCGGCGGTCGCCGTCCCGCTGCCGCTCGTCGCGGCCCGGCTCGTCGCGGCCCCGGCCGTCGCGGCCCCCGTCGTCGCCGGCCCGGTCGTCCCGGCCTCCAGCGAGGGGGGGAGGGGGCGGAGGAGGAGGAGGAGGTGGAGAAGAAGGAGGAGGAGGAGGAGGAGGAGGAGGAGGATGAGGAGAGGAGGAGGAGGATGTGGAGGAGGAGGAGAGGAGGGAAGTGAAAGGAGGACGCGGAGGGTGAGAGGGAGACCGACGAGGGGAGGGGGGGGAGGCGCTCGGGAGGGACTGCAAGCCTTCGTTCCAAGGGTTTCTACTTGCAGTCTTGCGTTCCAATGGTTCTTCTTTGCAGGCCTGCGTTCCAGAGGGCTCTCACGCGCACTCTCTCGCTCCTAGGAGGGGGGCACGATGTGTCCGCCCCCTCCAGGCGGCAGCAGCAGCAGTCATCCCACACAGGGGGGGCAATCGGGCTCTGGTGTGAGAGTGAGGAAGAAAGAGATGGGAAGCATCGGGCCACATCGGATCCCTTGAAATTGGGCATCGGATCGACCCTGGATCGGATCGATTGGGTCGGAGTGGGCCCTGGGAGGTGCGAGGAGAAAGACATTTCGTACCCTTAAGTCGGGCATGTCCCCCCACAGGGGGATTTTCGGTGAAAAATCAAAAATACCTCCAACATGCCCCAAAACGTTCAAAAAATAAGCAAAAAATAGTCCCCAGACTATTTTTGGATAATTTTTTTGGTATTTTCTATTTTTCGTCGACGATCACCCTGGTAGGGGGACAGGCCCGACTTAATCGTACCCGAGCGGCTCGCCCGTGCGGATCCCCTTCAGCCGATCGTGTTGCTCGGTCGGCGGAGGCCCTCGGCGGTCTCTCTGGATCTTCTGTGCGGGAAGCTGGATGGATGCCCAGCAGTGTGTAAAAGGGAAAGAGAGAGAGAGAGAGAGAGAGAGAGAAGGAGAGGGAGAGGAACGAGAGGAAAGAAATAGAGAGAGAGAGGGAAAGTGAGGGAAAGAGAGAGAGAGAACAAGAGAGAGAGAGAGAGAAAGAGGAAAGAGAGAGAGAGAGAGAGAGAGAGAGAGAAAGAGAGAAAGAGAGAGGGAGGAGAGGGTGGGATTTGGTGACGCCGATGGGGCGAGTGGGGGAGGCAGAGGAGCGCGTGCAGCATGGGGCCGCGCCAGGTGGCGTGGGGCGGCGTGGAGAGCGGAGCCAGGGCGCGAACGGCACGGACGGTGCCGGTGAGGGCGAGGGAAAGGAAGCGCTGGGCTCAAGTCGGGCCTGTCCCCCGACAGGGGGATTTTCGAAGAACAATTATAAATACCCCCAAAATAATCAAGCAATAATCCCAAAATAGTCAGGTGACTATTTTTTGAGCATTTGTTGATCCTTTTGGGGTATTTTGGGGCATGTCTTATTTCTCGTCGAAAATCCCCCCGTAAGGGGGACACGCCCGACATAACGCTGGGCGGATTGGCATGGTGCGGGGCGCGGGGTGGTGGTCAGCCCTCGTTCACCGGGCCGAGACGCCGGGAGCCCGGCCACCTGTCGCAACAGCCAGCTCCGCGGGCCTGCACGTGTGGCAACCGCGCGCAGCAGGCTGCTGCGCAAGACCAGAAAGTCGCCACAGCTGGGGCATCACGGGGCGCCGGCAAGTTGTGCACCGGGGCGAGAAGCACAACTCGCGACAGCTGGGGCATCCGGGAGCAGCGGCCACGGCACACCAGCCTCAGGGCACCTTGGCGGTAAGCAGATCAACAACTTGGACATCAAAACGCACAAACCGTTGGTCGCCATCCAGAGGGTAATTACCGGAAAGAACCAGAAGCTGCGTCACCTGGAGCATCATAGGGCACTGACCATAGGGCACCACCCATAGAGCACCAGGGCGAGAACCAGAAAGTGCAACGACCCAGGCACCATGGAGCGCAAGCTATGGGACTCTTGCCGCAGGGCACCATGGAAATGGAACAGATATCACATGACATGACACATCATGGACCACCAATCATGGGGCATCCTGCAAATATGGCGCCAATGAAGGCGGTTCACAAAACATCGCAACGACAGGGGCTTTCCAATATAACACCAGGAGGAACATCCAAACATCGCAACATATTTGTCATGCAATACTGTTTGGGATTCGATATTGTGGTCACCCATGAACCCGAATCTGGGAACACGGAAACCAGGCCGACAACCGAAGTCGGACGGCACCTTTCGGCAGAGGATCCCTTCAGTGCACGCGCTGACTGAGGAGAAGAAGCGCTCCTCCTCCTCCTCCTCCTCCTCCTCCTCCTCCTCCTCCTCCTCCTCCTCCTCGAGAGAGAGAGAGAGAGAGAGCGCCCCGCCCCTGCCCCTGAAAACCGACTTGGGGCTGCGCACAAGCATCTCCCGAAGGGCACTCGAAGCCACCCTCCAACGGCAACCCGCACCCCCTCGGCGCAGCTTCCGGCGGCGCCGCGCATCCTGGATCCCGAAAGACCACGAGGTCAGGAAGGTCACGAGGGGGCGGATGAGGAGGGGGCGAAGAAGGAGGAGAAGGACCACTGTAAGTCCAAGGCGCATCAACAATGTTGCAACACACCCTCCCTCCAAGCTCCCTCTTCATAGGTCCATGCGAGAATGTATTTTGCACAACTAGAGATGCCCTTTGGGAAATCCGCTGACCGAGAATCCTCATTCGTGCCAGAGCACCACTCCTTGGACTACAACACCGCTAAACAACTTTCCTGTTGCGTCCTGACGGTCCTGCATCGTGCCAGAACAGCATTCCTGGGACTTGACAATCCCAAATCGTGCCGGAACACCGTTTTTGGGACGTCAGCCGCAAGAAGCCGTTAAACCTTTGTAGACGTCTCGGAAGAATGTGCGCGGCGCTAGTGCGACAGCCACATTTTGACACTGGCCTGCACTCCATGCGGGAAGCTCCTGCAAACGTTTCGAACGAATGTGCGCGGCACCAAGGCGCAAGCCACATGTTGAAAACGACCGCCCTCCATCCGTGAAGCTCTTCGAATCTTTGAAAACGGATGTGCGCGGTGCTAAGGCGAGGACCATGTTTTGTAGACGACAAGCCCTCCCTCCGTGAGGCTCTTGCAAGCTTCCAAGAAGGATGTGCGCGGCGCTGAGGCGGGAACCACCTTTCGACAAGGAACTGCCTTCAATCCAGAGAGCTCTCCCAAATTTTTACAACGACTGTGCGCGGCGATGCAACGAGAACCACATGTTACATGTTGAGAAAACGACTTGCCTTCCACCCATGAGCCTCGTGCACACTTTTAGGGCGAATGTGCGCGGCACTGAAACGAGAACCACACCTTAAAAACGGCACGCCCACCATCCGTGAAGCTGCTGCACGCACTTCAAGCAGATGTGCGAGGCGCCAAGGCGAAAGGAACACGACCCGCCCTCCACCCGCGAAGCTTCTTTTTAGTTCTGCGAAGTTTATGCGCGGCGATGAAACGAGAACCACATGTTGAAAACGCCCGGCCCTTCATCCGTGAAGCTCTTGCTAACTTTTTCAGGCGAGTGTGCGCGGCGCTGAAAAACGACCCGCCCTATATTCGTCAAGCTCGTGCAAAATTTAAGCTTCAAAACCATGCATGGTGACGGAAAATCTCGCGAAACGCCCAGCCGTCCCTACCGACACGTCTCGGGGTGCGACAGGGAGGAGCTATGTATGAGGAAAACGAGCAAGAGGAGGCGAAGGAAAAGGAGGAAGACGACGAGGTGATGGAGGAAAAGGAGGGGGCGAATATTCCCAGACTTTCATGACATAAAGATTACAAAATGTTGTGCTGAACGCTTGTCCGTACTCTTCCGGAAGAGGTCCCGTGAGAATCGGTCGGAATACTCTCGACGTTTATTGGTCATGCTACTGGGGCGCGGCTCGCTAGGGCCCTTGAACTGAGACTGACCGAAAAAACGCATGATCCGCAATACTAGAAAGCCAAGTTGTGATGATAAAGCATGGCGTGTGAAGGATGGGTCCGACCTCCTTCAATGGGTAATCGTGGCATTTCAAATTCGTGATAACCTATCACACACGTTTGAAAACGTTTGGTCGTCGTTGCCTTGGCAGCTGGACCTTGACACGCTCTGCGCGACCCCCCAATTTCGCTCAGGGCGTACGCGGTCGCAAAACGTGCGATAGTGATGGGAGGAGGAGGGGAAAGCACCCTGGAGCCCACGCCACGGGGTCAGCCGACTCCTGGGCCTGGGAAGCTCCGATCGAACCCATTCCCGCTCGCACAGACCGCGAAGTACAAACCGATTCGTGGCCTCCGTAAAATTAGGCGCAACACGATGTCTGTCAGCCAGTGGGAGGCTGCGTCGCGTGGCCGCTCCTTTGGCCAGCGCGCCAGCAAATACATTGCTCTGAACCAGCCGCGATAACCTCTATCTGGCCACCACGGGCCCGATGGATTCGGAAATACCTATAGCAACAACTACACGCTTAAGCCGAGCATCGTGAGTTTTGGCCTCCAGGAACGTTCCCAACGACGACCGCAAGGGCCCTGAAAGGTCCCGACCCCAAGACACGACGCGCCGAATTGAACCCGAGCCCACGTCCAGCACGACGCGACACCATGCCACGCTGAAGACAGTCCGGCCCTGCAAAGCCACCGCCTCTGAGCGAATGCCCTGACCAAGACTCGCTACTAGGTGGAGCTGCGACCATTGTCCACGTTGTCGGGATGAGGCCACGCATCTAAAACCAACGGAACGCTTCGTGCTCAACTATGGCCAGTGGCAAAGGATGTGACGCAGGGCTGGGCCTAAACGTTGTTTTTCGTACTGTTTACGTCTTGCTTTCGTTTTGCTCTACCTGCTGTCCTGTGCCTCCCCTGCCGAAGCGAAAAACAAAACGCAGCCGAAGTCCAGCAAATAACGTTACGGTTCAGCCTTGATGTGATGAGTCGCGGTATGCTGTGGGCCTGGCACGTTTCCCACGCGTCC